GGTGACTCGATGAAATTAAATTAACGCCAGTCGGTGTCAGATTATTTCAAACACAACAATATTAAATCGGTAAATATTCGACGCAGCTCATTAATGCGGTTTAAATTTATATTGTTGTGATTTAAATTTCTATTTGAATTGATTGAATAATTAAAAATCTATCATATTAGATATTTGCTTTTCGCGGAAAAACCCGTTTATTTCGCGAAAATTTATAAAATTATTTGAACTCTACATTTTGAATTTCATTTCTCCGTCGTCGAATCGAAACGGATCGTAAAACGCGAAATTTATGACGCTGCGTATTATTTCGCGGCGGATATATAATGACGAGCGATTAAAGGAAAATCGTTCTGCGACGCAAATGTGTATTTAACGTTTCTCGGGGGACACTTTCAAGATACGATGTTCACTTTGGAAACACTTGTTGAGCAGTGAGCTAAGATTGTCCGAGCTAAGAAGCCACTTGTTGCTTCGTCCTTCCTGCAAGGAAACTCAGGTCCCGTATCAGGATACTTAGCGTTGATAACCGCAGAAACCCCGCTAACTTCGATCCGAACTACAAAGTCCCGCAAACTGCCGAGACTCGTCGCATTTGCGATATGAACTGTTCTGTCATTTTCGGCGCTTCTTCGACATTTATCGAATAATTGAAAATAAACGCGTTGCAAATTACGACATCTCGATGTGTACGTAATATATTTAAATGGAAATTCATTGGAGGTTCTCTCTCTCTCTCTCTCTTTCTCTTTGTATTTATCTCTTCCCTTGCTGTCATGATCGACATATTCCATTACTGCTTCGACGATTATACGAAGGGGGCGTCTCCTGAGGCCCACAAGGGGCCACATGTTCGCGTAGCAGTTCGCTCTCAGATACATTCGAGTCTCTCGCGCACGATAGAGGCTTATAATCGAATATGGAGCTAGTTATCAAATGCTAACTTTAGATATGGAAATATGACTTTGTTCGATGGGCGACAGCGCGCGCGACAGAGATACGTTTCGCGCGTGTCGTCCGGAACACATGTTTAATTGTTCGGGAGTTAGATCCATATACGAACTTTATATATACACGTATATTGACAGATTTATTTCCATCGAGTCGTCTATTGCGGAAATTTTTCGTTTCCGCGAATGCAACATTGATTCCGTCGTCGCTAATTAGCGTTTTGCATCGTGATTTCAATCAACTAGTGGTAAAAAAAAAAAAAAAATAAAAAATAAAAAAGAAAACGCTTACAATTTTATATCTTCAGTTTCCTGAGAGTGACGTATCTTTACATTCAGATTGCTGTTTGCTTGCTTATTAAAGCTGTCAGCGGAGAAACTGTGTACACACATATCGATTCGACATCTGTAGTTTGAATTAATAAATTTCCGAGGGAGTTAACACACTGAATAGAAAATTTCAAGAAAAAACAGTCCTCTCTCTGAATCTTCTGCGCGATGATTGGGCTCCGCCACGTGTCTATTGTGTCACCCATCGGACTAGACGCCCCCTTTTCTCGAACGCGTACACACACACACACACACACACGTGTGCGTTGCACGTACGCACGCCTTAATCACGCGTAGAAACGCAAGACGAGAAGAAAAAAAAACTCTAATCTCATAGTGTGAGAATATCTCGTTCGATTGAAACCAGTCGGGCGCTATGAAGTTGTATTTGCGTATAAAAAAAATCGATAAATGCTTGGTAGTTAAATTGCAGTCGGTGCCAGAAAAAACTCATTCAGTAGTATTTATTAAAAAGAAACAGAATTACGTACAGAGCACATAAATGATTGTTAGAAACTTCGCGAGCTTCTACTTCGGAAAAATCTGAAAATTATTAAACACTGCTTCTTTGCGCGCGCGCGCGCGTTAAATATGAGTTGAGTTTGCATTACCTATCGATTAAGTCTGGTTGTTAATAAAATCTATCGTTATTAAAATGTAAAATCTAATAATGAAAGAGTAGCACACGTGTGCATGAATTAAAATTAAGTAAACCGTTTTAAAAATTAAAGTAGACCATATGCGGTAGTAAACTAATGCGCTAGCGAAAATAATCGCATTATTGGCAAATAACTGTGTTTCAAGTTGTTCGTACATACGTAACGAATAATTACGCGACATGCGCGCAACGAACAGCGCGCGTAAGATACATCCATATCCAGAAATATCGTGTCTCAACGCTCAGAGAAGCGTATCGAGGCTAAATCGTCAAAGCTGACTCCATGTCTAACAAGCGCGTACGCTTTATGCGGTCTCGCAGCGACAGGAAACTAATTATAAATCTGTTTCCAACAACGCGTTGTATGTCATAACTATGAACGTTGATATACATCGGCGTGCGTACTTCTCTGGCGCGGCCACGTCAGAAACTATTTTTACGCCTATATCACGCGGCGTCATAGTATGCGCGATGAAAAAAGAAAAAAAAAGAGCGGGCAACGCAAGAGCGTCGAGGAGCATCTGCACGCACAATGGCCGCGGCTAATTCCATGTACTCGACAATCGCGACTAGCAACACGTTTTCCCGTAAAGGACTCTCTCTTAATCGTCTAATCGTTGTAGAACGGCACCGAAGTGCGCCTCAACACAGTTTACCGTCCCGTATTCCAAAGGGGGAATATCTGATTGATGATTAAGGGTTGATGGACGGAACGGAGTAGATCGACGCGGTGTGTCGCGCGGTGCGGGAGGCACCGGGAGTAATCTTGACCGGACAAAGATTTCCATCGAGACGTTCGGATTTGATTTTCAACCCCATCGTTTCGGCCCCACCGCGTCGAAGGGAGCAATCGCGGGGAGGCGACAACGACGACGACGACAACGACGATGACGACTTCGATCGGAAAGATCGACTTGGGTTTGCTTTTATCGGGTTACGCAACATCCACGAAAACCAGTCGGCTAAGTTCTTTGTCTACAAAGCCATCTGTCACCCCGAAGAGTCCGCGTGAGAGGGTATGGGAAAACGATGTGTGGGCGGTGGCGGCGCCGATACGTGTGTTCGCCTGGGCACGTTACGCGTGTCTCTCCGTGTGTTTGCGTGCGCGCGGCGTTGCTTCGTCGTGTGTATATGTATACGTGGCGCGCGCGACGTACACACGTACACGTAGAGAGACGCCTAGGCATACGCCAATATGCGAGATACGATCGAGATAAAAGCGAGATAGCGCGACAAGTATAAGCGGACCTTTGGGATGTGTATTGGGTATTGATTTTCTCCGCACGGAGTTACGCCACGGGCTAAGCCGAAACGCGACAGAGTTTATTAATCCCGGAGTAAGCGAACGCGCGTCTGCGTGCAAGACGAACGAACTTTCGTTTTTTTTTTTTTGTTTTTGTTTTAATCCCTCCTCTTTCCTTTCCCCCTCCCTAGAAATGCAAAGTACACAATGACAATACAATTGCGCGCAAAGGCGAAATTGTTATTCTCTATATCTCGTTATCTTGTCTGAAAAATTTCGAAAAAAAAGTATCGCAGCTTTCTTTTGATTCTACAGGATTTTGCACAAAGTTGGAGAAAACGACTAGAGTGGTTGAATCTTCTTTTATGGTCGTACGGACTCATTATTCCAAGTTTTTTAATTAGCGACAAACTTCCGCGCGCCCATTATTTCTATATATATATATACTGCTGGTTCAAATTCATTTCGTAACTTAAATCTCGGAGCTGCATAAATTGGTTAACTCCAGAGAGTAGACGTAGAGAGGAGGAAAGGAACATTAGAAGATGGATAGGGAAAGAACGGGAAGGAGAGAGAAAGAGAGAGATGGAAGGAGGAGAGTACACAGCGGAGTACAGCTAATACATCATAAACTTAAGAACAAAGAGGACAGAGGATGTCGAGGCTGCGCCGGAGAATCCGCAAACTCCAGCATCCTCGGCGACGAAACTTTACCTATTTGTTAAGTCTTGCCGACCAAAACTGTCTCAGATACTGGCGTCGAACAGTACCTCACACCTACGACCTCCTTGACTCTCGTCCTCTTCCTGACTCCTATTTCCTCGATCCTTCTCTATGCATTCCAGCCAGAAACAATGCAGTAGATGGAAGTGCATCGTCATACTTAGAGCACCGAAACAAGTAAAGCTGAGTAATGTTCGAGGCGAGTTGTGTTAACTAATTTTCTTAGCGCGGACATATTTTATCACGTGCGAGAGAGATTGTTTGTTCTTTTAAATAAACAAATAATAACACACGTCGGAATGAGGTGACGCGGCGTGCTTGAAATAAAACGCGATGTGTTGGTTAATGCAAATACGTCGCAATATTTCTCAATTTGTATTTTATACGTGCACTTTCCAATTAAATAATCCGTTACGAGAGGAAGAGCTTTTTATTTTTAAACTGTCGCGGAGTATATTGCACGAGAGGAGAGAGAATCTCTTTTTCTCTCTCTCTCTCTCTCTCGATAGAGAGAATGCGGCGCTGTATTTATACCGCCTTGATATTTATGCGCGATCGAAATTCGTGAACTTTGGCACGTGTGACGCGAGGCAAAAGCTCGTCGCCGACACGCGCGCGTTGCATCGTCCGTGCGACTGTGTTAGGGATGGTGGCGAGCTTTAGAGGAGGGTTTCATTGTGACGACAATATCGCCTTGGGCGGCATTGGCGAGGTAGATATGCAAATTTCGAGAAGTACGGCTTAACTCTCTGCAATTTTACTTTTACAAATTTGTTAATGTTTTTGTCGCGATTTTCGAAAGTTCGGCGCATATATAGTGGCGCTCTTTGTAAAATTGCTACCTGTAGAACTTGTTTAAACAACAACAGAACCGCGAGATTATTGAACAGCGGAGAAGTAAAAACGAGTACTTTATTTTGTAAAATTATTATTAAAAAAAATGTTGGCATTTATATTAATTAGAGAGTTAGAAATGTCGCGCGACGAAGGAGTAATGTAAGTTCAAAAAAAGAACGCGAGTGTCCATAATTACACGTGTGACCTGCAATTCGATATTTAAAAACGATTAAACAATAATAATTTCTTTTTGTTTCAGAGAACGGCACATTTCGCACCGCCACGGCAACGTATAATGTAAGTATCACGTCGACAATAACACAATTTGTATTTGTAAGAAAGTAAAAAAATCTTTCCTCGCGAGCTTCTCGTTTACGCGAAACAAAAACGAGACAAAGCGGTCGTCTATTGTGATCGCACCGCTGACAATTTCTCGCCGTTCTACGCCAATGCATGCATATATGAATGTCGGCCGGGGGTTGACAATGCAGCTCGCGGTGGCCGCTTCGTCGTCGTGCGTCGTCAGTGATGACGTCGACGCGATGGCGAAAGAAAGAAGGATGTCGATGGGCGGGGTGCGAGGGAGGAGAGGGAGACGGAGACGCTCTAAGGTACATAATCATGCTTGTGCTGACTCCTTCCCCTAATAAAAGTCTCACTGTCAGCTCGTCCCCACGGATCGAATCCTCTGCGTGCGGTGCTCCGACTTGTGCATCGCTGACGACGATACACACATGCGTTTCGTAGACAAAAGTGGACGACTGACAGCGTGAGGCTTCGCGGATATGCACTCGTCTGTCTCCGCGGATACGGTAACGGGAATCCGAGATGAATCGAAAAAGAATCACGGTGTATAAGAAAACAAAAAAGGGAGAAGACAGAAACACACAACAAGAATACGGGATCAAAAGCGAGATAGAAAATGTTCGTTCGTGACAGCATCTGAGGATTCTGAAGCTAGAATTTTTTTTTTTTTTGTTGGTTTTCGTTCCTTCACCCTATCTTCTTCTCGCGTAGCATCTTGTTCGACATAACTGTGTTTCGCCGCGATCGTGTGACACAATCATGATAATATTCCCGATTTGCTCGAACAGCGATTTGCAAATTAATTTGGCTTTGTCGGTCGATTGTCAACAGTACGTTGATCTTCCACGCAAACAGCACGAATACATCACGCTGTCGGTTTAAGGGGCGTCCGGGTAGGTTAGATTAGATTAGGTTACGTCAGCTTGTTTACATGCAAGTGCGACTAGATAGAGCGTTGGAAAATAAAGAGCGCAAAGTGACTACTTTTCTCTCTTTTTTCTCTCTCTCTCTCTCTCTTTCTCTCTCGCATTATTACAGAAAACTAAGTAGGCAACTATAATTGTTTGATTCGAGATCGAGTAGCTCGCTTACACACCTCGCAGGTGAGTCAGAGAATAAAAGAGCAGTAAGGCTAGTGTAAATGCAATACAAATTGAAAACGCGATCGTCCAGCTTGAATTTAATTGAGGTCGACCGAATGAAAGAATACACGCAAACGTAGACGGAAGTGAAAAAGAACCTTACCATTCATTCGACGGTTTACCCTCGAGGTCGTCGGAAGGAGGGACGTAAGGGCGTCTCGGTGTCTTCGCTCCGATGTTTAAAGGGCTAAGCGCGTTCGAGGGTCCTTGGCCCGAACAGGTCTCAAGGTGCGTGTCTCGGATGGATTTAAAAGACCCTCACGACGGGAGAACATGCTTTCGGAACACGGTAGGATCTGGCCGCAACCTGGAACCAGATGGTTCGGTTCCCCACTTATGTATTCGCCACCCGCCTTTTTCCACCCACGTGTATCACACACAAACCGGCGCGGCGGCGGTCTAAACGTGAAAATGGATTTTCTCACCCCACCCTCGCTTCTTACACCATCGTTTTTTCCCCTCTTTCTTCGAACGCGATCACTCGACCGACAAAACTCTCTCTCTTTCGCTTACCATCCTCTCCTCTTCCCCTCTCGTCGTTCCCTCACGCACGTTAATAACACATCTCGATGCGGGCCGGCGTCGGCGGAGAACGAAGGAGAAACACGGCGTCGTTCGACATATGTTTCGAAGTCATTGTGCGCGTCATGCGGCGAAAGACGATGCGTAGCGGTAGCACGCAGCCCGTGAACGGTTTTCCTCTCCCGTTCGCTCGTTTGGTTATTAGTACTTTTAATCTTCCGTTATAGACGAGAGCCTCGAAATTGGTGCTGGATACCGTTGAGAGGATCGACCAATCTGCCGCGAACAGAATTCCGCACTTAACGACGATCGGGGGAAGCGCAGGCATCGACAACAGTTACGTGTGTGTTTTTTTCTTTTTTTTTTTTTTTTTTTTTTTTTTTTTTGCTACATATTATTGTTATTCGCGCGTATAGGATTTTTCCTCTTTTTATCTTGCCTCGTGCCCGAGACGTTACGATTTAAATGCGCACGAGCGGTGACTCGAGTGGGCGGATAACGATACGTAAAAGGATAACGTTTTGCGTCGGT